ACTCATCAGACGAAACGCGGAATTTCTTCCACTTCACGCCTGTTTTCTGTGTGGTGGTGGTATTTCACCGGGCGAACCTGGCCAATTCGTGCGAAGATGTTAAAGCGGGTTCTACCACTCTTAAAATACGATGTTTACGATGGCAGGCGCTGATAGAGCGGCTTGCCGAGTTCGAGCCGGAGCTGGTGGAACGCGTGGTGGCATCGGTGCCGCTCACGGCGCTTGACCCACACCGAGCCAGCGTCTTCACCAGGGAGAAGGGTTTGTGGCGCGGCGTCGGCGCTATCGCTGCTGCTATAGGTACAATAATATGTTATGAATATTTGTTATAAGCATATGATGATAGAAGAGGAGAATGGATCGTTGAGTTGTACGATGGTTTAGACGGCAGTAGCGGTGCGATGCGCACGCTGTCCGAGCACGTGTCGAGCACGTGCGACGCGCGGTCGGGCGGACGCTGCAGCTGCGCGGGTGGCGCACTACTGCTGGCGGCGGCGGACGCGCTGGCGGGCCGCGGCGCCGCCGGACGACCGCTGCCCGAGCACGCTCGCCCCCTCGCACGACACGACGCTCTGCACGCACTACTGCATCATGTGAGTTGCTCTCATCATATTATGAATTACAAACCCAGTTGATCTATATTTAAAACTGAGTATTCTCCCCTCATTGTCACCGCATAATCGATCCTTACGGTCATACCTCGATGTTTATTATATATGCTTAGTGTATACATTAAATAATAAATGCTTGATTTTAATATAATTGTAAAGTATGTTTAACATGAACAGATGGGCAGCGGCGAGTCCCCGCTGGCGGTGCTGGTGCGGCACGAGGCGGCGGCGGCGGTACGGCTGCTGGAGCAGGGAGCGCGCGACCCGCCCTTCGCCGGTCCGCTCGCCAAGCAGAACCGACTGCGTGTCGCCCGCGCGCTGCTCGCTTTAGCCCTCGCACCTCCCCCCGAGCCCGACATGCAGGTACATACAAACAGTTGCTTGGACAAAATTTCACTTTCAAATACATATATATTTACAGTGCACATAATCATAGCTGTTAGTGCATCGCTGCAAATAAAACAATTTGTTAAAGGATCCCGGGTGTCAGATTGAGATACTCGATTTTATAAGCGGGCAACTGCAGTCAGGCGCGCTGCCGCTGGACCAGGAGGTAGTGAACGGCGTCCGGCAGCTGGCCACAGCGGCCGAGGGCGAGCGCGCCGACCGCGCCTGGCTCGGCCTCGTGACGCGGCTGCGCGCGCAGCGCGACCAAGCCCTCGCCGCCTACAGGGACGCCATACCGCGCCCGAGAGTACTCTGGCGATTCGACGTCCTGCTCGATAGACACGAAAATGTTCTAGACCAGTTTTTTAAAATACAACAGCCTTCCTCGTTAGATCTGGACGAACTCATAGAATATATCCGATCGAGGTTCCAAGTGGACGATACCATAAAGGCACGGTTGCAGCCGCACCTGAAATCTCTTATTGAATTTCGACCGCAGGCGTCCGCGGCTATAGTCAAGGACCATTATGAAGCATCGATAGCTAACATTTTAAGTACGCTGGAAGGGGAGTGCGCACTAGAATTCGGACGGCGACTTCTGGACATGGGGAGCCTCAAGGGCGACGCGGCGGCCATATATCTCCGGAGGCTATGCACGTTGCGGCCTACGGAGGTTAAAAAATTCTTAGAGAACGGCGCCGGTGTAGTTCGACCGGAGGACGCTTTGGCCATAATTAAGGAGCTCGGTCCGAAAGAGGCCGAGCCGACGTGCCTCGAGGCTACGGGCGACCCTTCCGGGGCGCTCGATTCGATGTTGGACCTGATTTCGTTGAACGCTGACACCAAAGCGGCTCGCATCGCCGAAGCGTGCGAGCTATGCGTGCGCGTTGCGCCGAGTGCGCCGCCGGAACTCTCCGCGGAGATGTGGACACGGCTGTTGCGGCGGGTCGACGAGGTGCCCCCCTCCTTGCTATTCGAGGCCATAGCCTATTTGCCAGTCGACGAACTATTGGTGAAAACTTGTGATTCTCCAAAAGTGGCGCTCACCATACTGGAGAGCGGCGCGGGGAGGTTGCGCGTATGGGAATGCGCGAGAAGAATAGCAGAGCAGGAATCTCACGGCGCTTTGGCGAGTGCGCTGGCGAAGGCGCGAAAAGGTGTGGCGGTGCGAGGCGACTGCCTGCACTGCGGCGAGAGATTGGTGTCGCGGATAGCGGCGCGCACGGCGCACTGTTCGCGAGCATTTCACGCCGATTGTGACGGTGCGACCGTCTGCCCCACTTGCGGCAAAGGTATTCCCACTGAGGTGTACGTGTTGCCGCCTCTCAGTCGCCGCCTGTTCTCGTCGATACCGCAGGACAATCCACTGCTATTGGCTGCACCTCCTAGACCGGACCTCGAAGGCGTCGCATAAATAAGTTAAATAATAAACTAAGAACTGAACTATTTATATTGTTACATTTAATTGAACTTAAATAAAGCTATTATCTTAATAAAAATTGACACGTTCCGAGTATGTTCACAATAAGTGCAGACTTGTAAGTATAATACCTATATGTTACTATCTTGTATCTAATATTGTTACTTTCTAGCTGTAATTCTACCACATAAATAAATATACAAATATATATTGTTTTTTTATTCTAACTCAACCAGCGCTAGTTTCGCGTCCATCGAGCTATTTTCCTGTAGTAACGTAGATTAACGTTAAGGAAGAAAGTAAGTTAATAACAAATATATACATCCACAATGTATATAAAGTTTAATCAAAAATTTAACTTCTACATCCAGGAGAAATTGAACTTAGAATAAGATTTTCGATATGAATCTGTTTTTATTAAAACATAAAATGAATATAAAGAAAACACGTTACATATAACCCTTATTCTATAATATGTACTTTCAAAGAGTTGAGTGATTCCAACTACCAAGTTTAGTGCAGTTAGAGCAGTACAATCCACAACTTCATTTCCTTTACAAAACCCAATGATGACAATCTGTGTAAATAAATTTCTTTTAAATATTTTATCTATGCAAAGGACAATGACAAATTTTTTCACAAAATAATTTTATAGTCAAACATGGATATCTGGCCCGATGAGAAAAGGCTTCATATATTTTCTTAGACAAGTAATTGCGGTAACCTCTCTGACCGGCTCAGATATCGATATATTCTTGTCGCACTTTTATGTTCAGTTTATATGAAGCCTCTTTACTAAAAAAATGAATTCCTAATTTTAACATAATATGTATTGCAATTATTACTACACGGTAGTCTCCCTTTGTATTAATTTTTTTTTAAATATGATATTAATTTTATTGTACGAACTTGAATAATCGAGAGCATGCGCCAAACAAATAATTGATCAGTTAATTTAACAATTAATAAATATTTTGAATTAGTTGTAGAGTATGTTTCTTAGTTATATTTTTGAGTGATAAGTCAGGCATTTCCATAATAATGCAAATAAGTCTTATCCCCGAGCAACCAGAGGACCACAGCTTGGTAGTCGCTACATTTTAACCATTACTGATCGTATGAACATGATTAAATATTTGGCGCGCAATACGATAACTTCTAAAAATCTGCTATAAATACAGTTTGTAATAAAACAAGATAAAAACAGTTGGTACCATTGTTGCGTGCCCACACTTCAGGTTCTTTTTTCAATTTCCTCCAGCAATGAAGAATAAACAATCATTGCATAGATATTTTAGTATATTTTGTCATTATCCTAAAATATATTTTAAAGTAATTTATGTCATAAAGTGACTCTTACGAACATTGTTATATTCTTTAGAAATCTTACAATATATAGCACACAAGTACTAAAAATATAAACAAACTATATTTATAAATAAAAATCTGCTACAATTATGTGTAGAAACAGAGGTGTTAAACATTTACTCGGCATTATCGTAACGAACCCTGAAACAAAAGTAAATAAGCTTTTATATGCAAATGGTTTTCTTTGGACTAAAAAATACTTGCAGAAGTAGCTTCAATATGGTGTTAGTTGTACATATAAATGTGTACATTTACCGCTGGCGTTGATTCTTTCTTTTGCTCAACCGGCGGCCAGAGCTAGGAGCTTGTAATGTAAACCGGTTGGTAGACTCCGGCGCAACTCTTAAGCTTCGAGATTCTGATGAACGAGCTTTATCCACCTAATCAATAATACATATTTTAATTATAACAATTCGCTTTTGCGTAATATTCAATGAATCTTTAATTAGCTAGAAAGATATAAGTAAAAATTCATAACTAGGCAAAACGTGACACAATTAAAAAAAAATATCAAGAACTTGGTGTGACAAAAAAAAGTACATACTTTTGCCATAAATTTTTTTATCAATTCTGGACAATTGAGATTGCTTTCAGGTTCCCATGAATCAAATTTACTGGCCCATCCCTTCCAGTGGATGAGGAAATCCCTTTCACCAGACTTTTTATGGTGAACTTCCAAAATACGATCCACCTGCAATATCAACATAAATTGTCACATGTAATAAAGGTTTTTTTATTAACAAGCAGATAACCAAAGAATTCAACTACTATAAGGCTTGTATTGTATCAATGCTTCTATTCTCTTTTCCACTACACATGTCTCTTGTTTTAATATGTTCCCATTGCCTTTAGAAATGCGAGTATAATTCATAAGAAAGGATTTTTTGACTAAAATCAACTTTATATACTTAAATAAAAAAGGGGTTTATAGTTCTTAGTTTATATATAACGCCGAATACAAATGCCACACCAGTACAATTCTGTGGTAAAATTGAAAACTAGTAAATATACCTCATATTCTGCTTCTTCATCAGCTTCTTCGCTGTCCGATTCTTGATTTTTTGTTTTCTTAGGTGACATTTTCGTCTTGGTGTTTGATTTACGCTTAAGCCCTTTTTTTCCACGGGAGCTTTTAGTTGCTTCATCCTTAGAATTTTCTTTCTACAAAGTTTAATTAAAGAAAATGAAATAATACCATTCACACATCTTTTAAATTTTAATAACACTAATTTTATATACCCTAGATTGATGTAATGGACTTATATTAATAGGTAGTGGGCCAAGTATTCAACTTTTAAGTCACCATAAAAGAAATCTTTTCTGCTGAATTAATAAGGCAATTAATATTTATTGCAGTTGAATGTGTTTCTTGGTGATAGTAAAATATACACAAATTTAGTACCTGGATTAATTACATTCTTATTTCACTTACAAGTATATTAGGCTTCATTTATTGTATCTTTTAAATTTATTAAGCTAGTGTATGTCACTCTTTGTAATAATATATATACAAATTTGTGTTTTCTTTACTTACTTCCTCATTGAACTTGTTAATTAATTCAGGACAAGACAGTGTTTTTTCTGGTTCCCATGTATCATTATCAGCAGAATATCCCTTCCAACGGATAAGGTAGTACAACTTTCCTCTAATTCTTTTAGAGTCAATCACTTCTTCAACCTGCAATTATTAAAATATATGTTTTACATGACTCAATTGATAATTTACAGCATTAAAAACCGCATGTTCAACCAAAATCGACAGAATTTATTGTTTTTTTTTAACAAGCTGAATATGATGCATAGCATATAATTTTTATCTTTTCAAATCCTCTCCAGGTGATTCTAGAAATAATAAACTTAATATATTTAAATTACCAAGTAAAAAACTGTAAGTTAAATCCTACTGAGGTTATCGAGTTCAAAGAAATGTTTGAAATTGAGTAGTAAATAAATTTTTAAAAGTATTGATTTATTTTACTGCAAAAACCAAGGACCAATCAAAAGAGCATAAAAACAAAATTTGCCCACCTCATATTCTTCTTCATCTTCTTCCCCTTTTTTCGTTTTTGTAGCTTTATTTTTTTTGGACTTAGTTTTTTTTGATTTTCTTTTTTTTGAACTATCAGATTTTTTCTCTACATCAGATTCAGCTTCATTGGCACTTTTATCATCTTTGCCCGACACGGATTCTTTCTCATTATCTCCAACCGATTGCTCTGAATTTTGCTTTTCTTCATTATGCACAGATCCTGAACCATTTGTTGACGATATTATATCATCATCGGTACGATTTTTTGAAACTTTTCTCATCGTGTATTGTAGTTTACGCTCAGTTAGGTTTTAGATCACCAATACGAAACGTAAACAAGCTGAATACAAATGTCGCTGACACAAAAAATGGAATGGAGGGAAAAGTAAAATAGACTACGATGCTACGAGTACGAGGAGAGGAGGGTGCACCGTGTAAGCGTCTTCTAAATGTTACTACTTACAAATTGAAATTTACAATAAAAAAAATATTTTTGAATTAAATGCCGCTGGTTTTTTTGAAGTCGGGCAAGATTATTTTTGAAATTTCTTTATTATTCTCGTACTTTAGTTTCTTTAAACGTTATTTAATATTGATGGATATCAACACATACTCACACATAGCCTATTATAAAGGTTGTAGATTCCCTATAATTTATGGGTTTCCCCGGAAAGTACAGAATAGGTAAACACACCACTTGCCAGAAATTTACAGAATTATTCAGAACGGAGCTAATTTCTTGAAATAGCAGCAATTTAATTAAAAAGAAAATTTGTTGCCAATACTTAATGAATAACTAAACCATTTTATATACTCTTTGAACTAAACTACAAAAATGTATTGAAATCAATGATGATTGTCATGGACGGAATGGCAACATTGCCAACAATTATCAATGTCATTGTATATTTGTCATATTACCTTATTATTATTACTTCGTGTTCGTATATTTTTAGTTGTGTCGATGTCGATTACTTAAGTAGAAACTAGACAAGATAAATGTGAATATACAAATCATGACTAGTAGAGCGGCCAATGTAAAAAACTCTCGAATGAATTTTAAGTTTCAAAATGAGTCGCCCCAAGATTATAAAGGAACTAAGCCCATTCGCGAAGCTTCATCTATTTTAGAAGTACTGAGTTTGATGATCGTGCACATTTGCAAGAAAGTGCTATTCTATGACACTAATTTAAAAATAGCTATTTATTTAGGTGCTCTCTTTGTGCTATCTTTGATAGCTGATGTATTGACCTTTCCCAAAACATACTTTTCTAGAAGTGATAATGTTTTCAACCAATATTTTGTGAAAATTGGTTGGTTTTGGACATTATTTTTAACAGTACCTTATGTTTTATTAACATCATTTACTACCTGCTGTGGGAAAAGAAGACTTATCTTTACTGCACATTTGTCAAGATTGGCCATTGCAACATTTTGTTGGTATGCATGGACAACAATATTTAATGTTATAGAAACCAAATACGGTCGCTGCAACGCAAGATCATTTGAAACGAAGACAGCTTGCCTAAAAAATGGTCATTTCTGGAATGGATTTGACATATCAGGTCATTGTTTTATTCTTATTTACTCAAGTTTAGTTATGATAGAAGAAGCCAAAGCAATAAATGGCTGGGAAAAAATTAAGGACAACATAAGAGATGAAAATTATACAAGAAGCCTTAATGATAAATCAGTCAGTGTAAACCCACTTAAAAACATCAGTGCAGAAGAATTAAATATTTTAAAAGAATCCTATGAGATAGTAACACCCTATGTGAGAGCATTACTAATTTTTATAGCAATATTGCAGTTGTTATGGGATGTTATGTTGGTTTCTACAATTTTATATTACCATATTATGATAGAAAAATTTATTAGTGGTGTGATAGCTATATTGACATGGTTTGTTACATATAGAGTCTGGTACACTATTCCAAATGTCTTACCAAACTTACCAGGGCAAGGCATTTTTAAATATAACAATGGAAAGCCAGTGGCATTAACACCTAACAGAAAAAAGAGCAATGCTCCTAATGGGAAACACTTTATGGGAATGCCTATAAATACCAAACAAGACACTATGGAAGCTTCCACTGAAGAAGTTAGATGAGTTATTAAATATTTAAGGTAACATAATTGTTAAGGTTATTTATTTTACATTCAAATTTTTATTGAATATTTTGAAGATATGGTCATCACAACTATGTTGTACAAAATTATTTTTAATTTGTGTTCTTTAATGGAATTTGGCAAATGGTGTTCTATGGGTGTTTACTAAATGGTTTGTTTTTTTAAGCAAAATTATTTGTAGTTTTTCTTATTAACTATTTACAACCTAAACTTGTTTATTTTTAAATTGTTAAGGGAAGGTGCTTTAAATAATAAATTTATATTAATTTATCTGGGTTTACATATTGCCTCATAAATTTAAGAATAATGATAAATAATGAAATGCAGTATGCATTTACTTAAATTTAATGGAAATGAGATATTATAAAAAAAAACAATGTAAACAGAAACCTTTATAAGGTTGTGATTACAGACTAATTAAACCACACATACACATTTGTATTATCAATTTAAACCCTGAAGCATTCCAAAATAAATCAATATACTGAATGACATTGTCAGTCAGTGAAATGTGTATTAATATAATTTCTCATTTCCATTGAATTTTAATATAAATGTGTATAGGTACTCTAAATGAAACAATCCGAATGGTAAATAATATATTTCTCTTTAAATGCAATGAATTCAAAAATAACAACACTATTAAAATACATTTTAATAATCTCATAGATTAAAAATCCTAATACTGAATGTACAGATACATATATCCAGACTCTAATTGACTATATGCTATGTAATACTGTTATATTCAATTTAATCATTGTGATAATACTGTTATTGAAACAAGAAAGAAAATATGATAAAGTGATTCATATCTCCTATCTAAACAAAAGATTAAAAATTTACTGTAATGTGAAATATAAGAAAGCACCTTTATCATAAATCTTTGAATTATGACCTAGACCTCCATATTCATGCAATATGTGAGATTGTATAGGTTACCTTTTATACCACTCAATAAAGCAGTAAATCAATGAATCGTTTAAATAAGCTTCTTTAACATATAAGCAAGTGCTAGGACAACCCCAATAGATACAGCACCAGCTGCTCCAACATAAGCAGGGGGCTGGGAAGTAAAAATCAACTTAATGTGAACAGCCATATTAGGAATGGTTTTTACAAAAGATTCTCGAAGTTTCACTCTATTGAAGTAGTTCTCAATATGGGGCCGTTTTCCATTTGTCCAAAATCTCTCATCTAAACCAAGTTCCCACAAGCGCTGCAAGATGATTGCCAAATTTACATCGGCTATAGTAAACTTGTCACAACATAACCAACTATCTGAAACTGATGAATATTTTAATAAAAATACAGCAGTATTATAGAAAAAAAATGTAAAGAGTAAGAGATACCTTCACTTTGTTCTTTCAATTGGTCTTCTACTTGAGTGAATACAGCATCAACAATATTTAAAACTTTCAGATATTCCTCTTCATTTGTTAATATTTCGTGTTTTCTATCTTGAATCTCAGCTTTATATAATAAAATTCCTTTAGCTTTAGGATTTTCTTCTGCCAGCTTTCTTAGGTTTTTGGAACTGACCAAATCACCACCTAAATGATAATGTTAACTATGACATATTTGACAATATTCACAGTAAACAATTTTACATTATGTCATACTTACTTTTAAGTACTTCTCTAACCGGGAAAACAAATGGCAATTTCGGTGTTCCACATAAGTGAGGATGGAAAAAAGAACCAACCGTTATAACACCAGCTGGCAATGCCTCCAACAGATCTCGGAAACGATTTATGTTTTTCATGACTTTACTATCACGTGACACGTTTATAATCGGAGTAAGTTCTACAAAAATAATACCAAAATAAATTAATTGCTTAGTTACATAAATATTTAAAATGATTGTAAATGAGCGTGCACCTTGATCTAAATGGTATTCCAGATAATCAATAATTCTTGTAGAATCCGGAATAACTTCATTACGAACTTTCAGAACTGGTACTTCGCCCCGAGGATTAAGTTCTAGAAACCAAGGTGAATATTGTTCGCCTTTCGTAATGTCCACGACTAACGGTTCGAAGTCTACGTTTTTTTCATATAAAGTCATTAGAACCTAAAATAAAATACATTTGAAAAGGTTTTTGAAAAATATATTTATATAATTATCATGTACATACCTTTTGAGAATAAAAACTATAATAATTACAGTAAAGATATATGTTGGTGTTACTTCCGCTATTCATTTTATTATTGCTTGTTTTAATTAACTGATATTTTTCCAAATACTTCTGAACATAATGCATTGTAGCAACTTTAGTGAACTATGAAAAAATATATTTAATGAATTAATAAACAAAAAATGGATATTAATATTACTAAATCTAAGAATCTAACGCGGAAAAACTTTTCCAAACATAATTGGTATAAAAGTTTTCAATTCAAAATAAAGACTACCAACATTATAAAAAGAAAATCAGCTGACCGTTATGATGACATTACCGTGGGTTTCCACTGCGCAATTTCTCATACAACCATAAAGGTAGACCTGCGTCTTTCATTGGCATACAACCACATAGGTATGTAGGTGCTACGACCATACGACATGTTGTTTTTTTTTTCTTAGAAGAAACTAACAATGTGTGAGTATATAAAAAATGTTTCGACACTGAAAACACAGGATTGTAGTTAGGTTGTGTGTTAACAAACTCTTCGCATTCTATTTCTGCATTGAATGAATATTGGTTACGAAGGTTTTTATTTTATAGATCCCATGAACTATTTTAATGCTGAGATTTTTTAATTTAAATATCTCTAAATGTATACAATATGCATATATTTTACTAATTTTATAAATGCGAAATTTTAAATGGATGGATGGATGTTTGTTAGAAGGTATCTCCGGAACGGCTCAACAAACAAAAGTTGTCAAACAAAAAAAAAGAAAGATCTATCTAGGAATCGTAGTACTAGATAGTACTATTATTTAATTACTAGACCCATTCTCGGTTCTTATAGTTGGTAAAAATGCGCGTACGGTCTTTTCACACTAGACCACTAGACACCCACCTATTAAGTACCCAGTACTATGTTATTCTGCATGCAAAACTAATACGATACATCATCGTAAAATTAAATTAAAAAATCATTGATTGTCAAAATAATCTTTATAAAACGGACCATCTATTTTACTAATATTACAAAATTTTAATGTTTATATTCATGTTTCTGACACCTCTGGTGATTGATGAATCATCTTAGAAAGAAGAAAAGCCACAAACCGTAAGTGCAAATCACCATTGTACGATATTACATCTAATTGAATCAGACTCATTCCGTTTTATTCCTGATTAAATAACTTGTCGCCCTTTTCCTGGATTTTGTTTTTAATTAAAAAAAATCTTAGCTTATAATATACTCTGTAGTCGTAATAAGCAACCTTTGTTGCATATTTGTTTACTCTGTGACGTGTTTTGTACTCTCGTCTCAACTCAATTATTCATTGCTCAATTGCTCTCCATCTCTAAAATCTCCGCAAACTTCTCATTGTAATTTTGTATTTGTATTTTTATTATAAGGAAAAGTAGATTTGTCGATGCCGCAGATCAATTTGGACAAATGATAACCAACAAAATTCAGTATCGATAAATGATATGATTCATGGACAAACTGTATTGTTGTGTATCTAGCACAGTAAAAAAATGGAGGTTTCCAGCAATACCGACGCCGTGAATCTGGGCGTAGGTGAAGTAGAAGCGGAAATAGGGGAGGAACTTAAACAGTTAGAAGAAGTGAAAGACTATGATACTCGTAGTGAAGTATCTAGTTCATCTTCCAGTGATACAAGCTCGCCTAGTATTAGCTCTGTAAGCACTAATTCTAGAAACAGACGAAATAATCGTAAACGAGCTAAGTCTGACAGTCATTCCCCCGTACAAACTAAACGACGATGTGTTACAGCAACTAACAAGGTGAAAATCTACGATTACGTGACAAAACTGAATTATTTGTTTCGAGATACACGTTTTTTTCTCATCAAATCTAACAATGCTGAGAATATAACATTGTCAAAAGCAAAAGGAGTTTGGTCCACATTACCCCAAAACGAAGCTAATTTGAATCAGGCCTACAGGGAGTCGAGAAATGTACTATTGATATTTTCAGTTAAAGAGAGTGGAAAATTTGCTGGTTTTGCTCGGTTAGGAAGTGAGTCCCGACGTGATGGGCCCCCAATTTCATGGGTATTGCCACCAGGGCTTTCAGCAAAGGTACTGGATGGAGTCTTTAAAGTAGATTGGATATGTAGGAAGGAGTTATCATTTAGTAGCACGCTTCACTTATACAACCCATGGAATGAAGGCAAACCTGTTAAAATTGGTAGAGATGGGCAGGAAATTGAACCAAAAGTTGCTGAGGAATTATGTAGACTGTTTCCAGAAGATGATGGGATTGAGATGACCCCAATACTGCGAAAGTCAAAAGAAGCTTCTAAAAAGGCATACCTAAAAAGCGGTGGCAATTATAGAACTTACAGAACTCCTCTGCTTTCTAGAAGTAATTTCCGTAATCGTATAAATACATCATCCAGGAGCAGGAGAAAAAATTTTATTCCGCCTAGAAATCGCCTGTCTTCAAATTCATACAAGAGAAGATCTCCATCACCATATATGCGTGAACGCTTGCCAGCATGGTTTGCTAGGGGACGTGACGCATACAGTAGCAGCAGCTCAGCTGCAGCAGAAGCCTATGTTGCAGAGTACATGAGGTCAATGCATCACCAGCTGCCACCATTACCTTACGTGCCCCCTCCAGGATTCAGTGGAGCATTAGCAAGTTACGAGGGATTGCCCCCGCCACCGCCACCACCACGTTATTATGACTTGGCTGATTATCCTCGTTCAGTGCTTGTATATGATAAAAGGTCTTATGAACGGTCCGTGGATGAGTTTTTGTGGCGCACTACAGATCGTTCTCGAGCTCGCAGCCGGGATCGCGAATCCCAAAGATCTTACAGGGATCGACGATAAGATAAATTCCACCGATGTATTGATTATTTCATATAATGCTAATAAAGATTGTGTTTGAACTTTGAACTTTAATTGTAAATTTTAGTGTTGTGGTGAACTTTTAAATGAATGGAACTTTTATTTGTATATATTGGACAGTTTTATTGAGAAGTTTAGGGTTCTTTACAATGTGGACTATTCCCAACAGTGAGCGGAGTCAGTAAATGAGGATAACATGAGGACAAACTTCCTCTGTTTAATTATATGAGGAATAGAAGTGTGTGTCTCAGAAAGTATGGAACAAAGTTTATTTACATTGAAACATTCATGATAACAGACATACAAGTTCTAATAACTTGAGTGTTATTTAAGATATATCTTATGTTTCAATGTGAAAATGTAAATAACTCTACCCTTGAAATTTTGTCAATTTACAATTATGAAAGGTAAATACTATCAGCAAGACTTACAACTTTTTTGGTTGTGCATATATCTGTGATATTAAGTGAAAATATACAATATTCACCTATTTTACCAAATATATTATACATACAAATAATATCTTTCATAAATTTATATTAACCAATATTTATTTTTAACATGGCATCTATATTTAACGGATAATCGTCAAAAAATGTGAATTACCATAATTATAAAAAGATTAGCCTTGAATATTACCTACTTACAGAAGGTAAGTCATTATGTATATGTAGTTTATTTGAAAACAATGTGGTACTTGTTATTATAAAATGTAACCATTCCAAAGAATAGGCTCATCAGAAATCTTCTCCTTAATCATATATAGGGGGGTCGATCTGCTTTTCATCATGTCATAATTCATAAAACAATACCTGTTCAGATCACTACCCCATGTAATTCCAGACTATATTCTACATCTGTTCCAAATTTCATGAAGCTCCGCCGTTCCGGAGAATCCCTCTAATAAACATCCATCCATCCATCTAAACATTCGCTTATATAATATCATTACATGAATGCAATAAATAACTAATTCAGTGTTTTAAAAGCTACAAAAGAGAAGTTGAGGCAGAGTTTAAGGATGGGAAGGGAAAGTATATCATAGGGGAAATATATAAGGAAGGGGATATAGCATTTTTCTGTGCCCCTCCTCTGTCGATTAAAAGTAGACAGAGCAAATTCTCTGATATGGATGTCTTTGGGCAGCAGTCGCTACTTAGGCGTATTCTTTATTATATATAAGTATAGATGCCAAACGAGCAAGCGGCCACCTGGATTCCGAGAAATCGGCCTCATGTCCACAATGTGTGTTTTATGCCGATGTGTGCCCTTTAACATTCTGAGAAAGAAGACCACTATCCACAATATATATATGTTATTCTTCATCGATAAACATATATATATATATATATATATATATATATATATATTTATCGATGAACGAACGAACGAAAACAAATCGATTGACACCTCACTCTTTAAAATCAAGCAGCCTTTTAAGCTTAAAAGAGTTAGAGAGAAGAGCTGTTCTAGGTCGTCATTATATAATTTATATACATAAAAACAAACTTATACATACGCGTTTAAAACATTAGCCTCTTTGACGGTCGGTTAAAAAACTGGGTATGGTCAATTTCACAAATCAATAATTTTAATAAAATTGAAAGTTTTTAAAACCTAATATTTTATATAGTAAATTCCCAATAATTATGTATTTAATGTTCTGTGCTAACCGTTAGAGGGCGTAATCGCACAATATCAGGGAGGTGAGATATGTGTGATGGAGAGTATAGTTTTACATTTTTACAATTAACATGCCTCAGGAGCAGTACATATTATTATGATTAAAGATATACTGTGAAATGAAAGCATACGTTTTTGGTAAATAAATTTGAGATTTGATGTCTAAACACATCGTTCGGAATGTTTTCATGGCTGAAATTCGGCAGGAGCGGCAACTTGAAGTATATGTTCACCGCCGGGCTTAAAGGGACTTTTTCGCCGCTTAGCTAGTTACGTAATAGACTGGGAGGCGTGGAGCTAGTTCCCGGCGCAGGCGCGGAGGGCGGAGGGCGCGCAAGGGATGAGGGCGCGTCAGTCGGCGGTCGGCGCTCGGCGACTCCAGCTGGTCCGCGCCGCGCCCCTCACCGCCAGAGCGTGGCTCGGGGCGTGGCGCTTACGTAAACACGCGTGGTGGTACTCGCTGTTGGCCCGGAGCCGAAGCAGTATCCGTCCTAGAACGACCCCATGTCGGCCCACCGCCTACCAAATATATGTGGATAGCTAGCAGCAGGCCGCTGCGCTGCCGCCGCGGCCACTGCCACCATCGTCGCTTATCGCGCTTATAGGTACTTAGATTTTACGTTTTCATCAATTATGTCATAACGACTGTGTAATAGCATTCTTGTTTACCTTAGCATAGAGTTGTATAACTTGTACATTAATATGTTAATTTATTTAACAGTTAAAAGAATTTGGTGAAATATGAATATGATGAATGGTAGTGAAAATTTGATGAAACTTAAACTTTTGGTTTTTTCTTATCGATCTTTTTGATAACCAGCGACAAAACAATTTAAGTACTCATTTTTATCCTCATAAATAAAGTCAAGTGCGACTTCGTTAATACTACCTAATAAGGGATATTGATTATCTAATATCGGTATAATATAATAAAGACTAGAAAATTTACGGTTCTGATAAATCAATTACTACAGAACGTTATGATAATGAACAAGCTTGACTTAATAGCATTTTATCCCAAATATGTACCTATTCTACATACATGTTTCGTTTAGTATAAAATCAGTTATGCTGGTTCTCTGTAATTCCAAAAGCTTTCGTAAACTAAACTCCCTTTGCATTGAAATTTGCGATAGTATTTTACTTTGCTCACGCTTTCTCATAAATTTCGCCTTCTGTTGTGCTATATTGAATCAACGATATTAGCAGTAAGAGGCAACCGCCAACAATACAACAGCGCACTTCCATTATGGGACGCGGCTAAAAATTAAATTAATAAAAAATAAGGGTTCGGTTTTTGTCCTTTCGAGATACGGAACCCTAAAAATTACTAACATGGGACTCCTACATTTTATCATCATAAACAATTTTTCTTAATAGCAGACTACACTATCATGCCACTGTCCTGCTATATTTTGACTTCGTCCGCGTGGAACTAAAATAAACTTGATAAGTTGCCTATGTGTTCTATTAGACTATGCGACTATACATTTAGTTATGCCAAATTTCAGCGAGATCCGTAGAGCCGTTCTGGAGATACCTTCTAACAAACATCCATCCATCCATCGCAACTCACAAAACAAAAATATTTTTTCCAATTTTACCTTTATGAGTCTCATTTGTTTACAACATCGTGTACTGCAATGCATGGCCTAGCTACTATTCTTATTTACTAATGTATGTACTACTATAATTAACTTAATAATGTCTTTCTCTTTGTTTTTTTCTTAGTTTTTACATATTTTCGTGTGTTTCTAAATGCTTTCCATAATAAAATTGTTTCAAAAGAGAGAGAAGAGAACATTTGATGAAATTCGGACATCTTATAGGAATAAACAGTTCATCTCAAAAATTAAAATTAGGCGTGTCCTTATCTTCAAGGTCAACCGAAATAAATAATAGTCACGACATCCACTTCAACGATATACATTTTGTGTAGAACACTAATAGCATAACTCTGAGGGATTGTATCTCGACGACTACCTTTGTAATGTCACTTTTTTGAATACGTACTTTAGTACTAGTTATTTCATTTACGTTTCAGTTATAAGCTACAAAAGTTGGTGTAGCGATTGTAAATATTACAGCATCAAAAGCCGAGATGCAGGCGCGCAGTGCGCTGATGGCGCTGGCGGCATTGGGAGCGCTGGCGGCGGCGAGCGCGGAGCGCGCGGGCGGCATCAAGGTGGGAGGTACAGCGGGCGCGGCAGGTGCTGGCGCAAGCGGGACGCGTGACGGTGGGCGCGGTGGCGGCGTGCGGCTTGGGGGCGACGGGCTGCGGCGCGCGCGCACGTCGCCCGCACCCGCCGCTCCACGCGCCCCCTCCGTCATCACCGCCGCGCTCGTCGTGCCACACAAAGCTTTCGGTGCGCGAGACTACACGCGCGCAGAGAAAGCGGCCTTAGCGAAACTCCCGCGCAAACTACAGAAACTCTTCTCGCATGTGCGCCTCAACATTACGCTTTCTATGCAAGGCCTCACGCCGAGTCCTATGTGTAAGTATAAGATTGAGATTGATTACGATTACGAGTAGTCACAAGCACAAGTAAATTAACATAAATCTTAACTTGATTCATCATCGACATTATCATCATTGGCATGTCTTGGAAGTACACTGACCATGCTTGGAAACATTAATAACGTCAGATAACGCTTACATAAACAACGCTGTCTTCAGTTTGAAATCCGAAATGGACAATGACTTCTTTCTCTATATCTTTAAATTTGTGCCTGAACTCTTGCTTGTCAATATTTTTATTTGCAATAATAACCAAGAACCGTTTTAATCATGTTTAATTGCTTTCAGCTATCTTGGACTCGCTATGTAAAGAATTTTTAGCAGTCAACGTGTCTGCTATCCTTTATCTTATGAATCATGAACAATACGGGCGCTCTACTGCCTCTGCACAATATTTTCTACAACTTGCCGGATATCTTGGCATACCGGTAATGCTTTCTTACTTCTTAGGTTTTTCATACTCTGGAATATGTTGCTGTTATAATATTAAATGTTTTACTTTTGTTTTGCTTTGTAACGGCGCAGGTCATCGCATGGAATGCGGACAACAGCGGGCTCGAAAAGCGAGCCGCGCACGCCTCCTTACGACTTCAGCTGGCCCCGTCCATAGAACACCAAACCGCCGCCATGTTGTCGATATTAGAACGTTACAAGTGGCATCAGTTTAGCGTCGTCACGTCCGCTATTGCTGGTCACGACGATTTTATACAAGCCGTCAGGGAAAGAGTCACCGCTCTACAAGTACACACATTTTGACTCTTATTTTAATTTATACTATATTTAAGGAAGTGGACGAGGGGCAAGCGTTTATACTTTTATTTATTTGAAATTTGTATTGACCTTTCAATGACCAATTCGTAAAATAACAAATCCTTGAGTATTTTAAATGTACCTAGCACATATTGATTGTTAGAACCAAAAGACTTTTACAGCAAAATAATCCAGTTTACTAATATTATGAATGCGAATGTTTGGATGGATGGATGTTTGTTAGAAGGTAACTCTAAAACGGCTGAACAGATCCCGATGAAATTTGGCCCACATATAGAATATAGTCTGGAAGAATACACAGGCTACTATTTAAGTTTTTTTTTAGTCCCGCGCGGCCGGAGTCGCGGGCGACAGCTAGTCTTAATGTATAAATGATCTCGTTACGGAGTTGTACAAAAATCAATAGTAAAATAAACAGTGGTTACCCTCAAAACAATGACAAGACGACATTAATCATCTCTATATCTCCGCCCTTTGTGCGCCATTGAGCGCAACCGTAGAGAATTAGAAAACGATAATAACTTCCATATTAATTTCAATTGATGTGCTTTTAAATATATATATGTGCTGAATATATATATATATAAAATATATATACATATATATATATATATATATATATGTATATATATTTATTTAAAAGGATTCGTATAGATTTCATTCGTACTTATTTTATTATGCTAACGTTGTCCCATTTCCCCGCAGGATCGATTTAAGTTCACAATATTAAATGCAATTGTGGTGAAAAGAGGGTCAGATTTGAATGAGTTAGTGACGAGTGAGGCTCGGGTCATGTTATTGTACGCCACGAGGGAGGAAGCCGCTGATATTTTATCAACAGCCAGAGATTTACACCTGACAGGAGAAAACTTCGTATGGATTGTAACACAGAGTGTGCTCGGATCTATGCAGCAACCCAACAAGTTTCCAGTTGGAGTACTAGGTATATTATTCGTTGCATCATTTTAAATTATATACTTTATGTCATTTAATATATATTCACGTGTTTAGTCACGTTATACCTTTTGATCCTATATGTGTGTCGTAATTTTGTCATCAGGTGTGCATTTCGATACTTCGTCTGTGATCCCGGAGATCGCTACGGCAGTGAAAGTTTTTGCGTACGGCGTGGAGTCGTTCGTGTCGGAAGCCGAGTACGCTCGCTACCCACTAGGCACGAGGCTGTCATGCAGCGGTGCAGGCACGGGCGAAGCGCGCTGGTCCACAGGCGAGCGATTCTATCGCCACTTGCGCAACGTCAGCGTCGAAAGCGACGGCGGACGACCGAACATTGAATTCACGCCGGAGGGAGAGTTGAAGGCGGCTGAATTAAAGATCATGAATCTTAGACCGGCGATGGGTGAACAGGTATTCATATTAAGGCCTCCTCCCTAAATTCACATTTTAACAGAAAATTAACAAAAGCATTTCTCTTATTATGAAATCAGTCAGCAGTCGCTACGCTATGTAGGTGACCTCCTACATATTTGCATAAACACAACACAGTCACGCATACACGCACATACATCACACGCATACACGCACACATAAACACGGGTGCATGACGAGTGGTCGACGTCACGTCGATTTGTTGACCTCTGATTGGCAAATTCGAATTGCAACGCACAGCTGAGCGGGGGTCACTGAACGGTTTTGCATACGCGCGAAACGAGAGTGGAGTTCTGCAGCGCCCGCGATATACCACGCTTTCGATTACGCAACTTGTTATTTTGTTATCCGAATTTGTGCATTTCTCTTTCTCCTACTTGTATTCTTCTTCTCAGTGTTGTACTCTCCTTCTTATTATTTGTTGTGGACTGTGAGTGATAATAAACTGTGTTGTGAATATAACTGTGCCTCATTTCACCTGTCGTCGCACTCACCCTTCACATCTCATCACTCACACCTTCCCACACCGGAGGTGACATCCTCGTCACCTCCCCCTTCATTGGTGACCCCGAAGAACACTAAGATGAGCAACACCGAAGACGAATTCCAGGAGGCACGGATTTTGCAAAATGAACCTTCAGCCCATGTATGTAAGGTCGGAATTCGCATACCACCGTTTTGGCCAGAGGAACCCGAGATATGGTTCGCACAAGTTGAAGGTCAGTTTAGCATTGCTGGCATCACTAATGATTCGACCAAATTTAATTATGCCATTGGTCAGCTCGGAAACCTGTACTCTAAGGAGGTCAAGGATTTAATTATCAATCCACCCTCCACCAACAAATTCGAAAAGCTGAAATCGGAACTGATTAAAAGACTGACCGTATCCAAAGAGAAGAAATTGACGCAGCTGCTGATGCACGAAGAGATGGGTGACAGGAAGCCGTCACAGTTTCTTCGGCACCTTGAAAGCTTAGGCGGGTCGCAAATTTCAACCGACTTTTTGAAGACAGTTTGGGTCAGCCGATTACCTACCGGCATTCAAACAGTCTTGGCTGGACAGACTTCTACCACAATTGAAGAGATGGCGGATATAGCAGATAGGATCAATGACCTTGTCCCCTCGACACCTCAGGTGGCATCAACCAGCCGACAGAGTGAGAATGTCGACTTGGCCAAGGAGATCGCTGCTTTACGTAAAGAGGTCCAACAGCTGGCCCTCAGACAACGAAGCGGCAGATCAAGCAGCAGGTCCCGACCACGCGATCGTCAGCATTCTTCGTCGAGATCCCAATCCAGTTACCGGCGCCACCCAGTCTGCTGGTACCACTTTAAGTTCGCCGACAAGGCGACCAAGTGCTGCCCTCCATGCGACTTCAAGTCGGAAAACTCCAGAGGCAATCGGTAAGGACGACCGACGATTGCCCCTCTTCAACTGGTCGCCTGTTCGTCACCGATCGCAAATCCAAGACACAGTTCCTGGTCGACACTGGGAGCGACCTCTGTGTCTTCCCGCGGTCGCTGCTGCGAGAGCGTCGTGCCCGGACTACGTATCAGCTAAGTGCCGCTAATGGTTCTTGTATAAACACTTACGGTTATGTTCATTTACAACTTGACTTTTGTTTACGTAGAACTTTTAAATGGCGTTTTGTTGTTGCCGATGTGACTAAACCTATTATAGGTGTAGATTTTTTAAATCATTACAATTTAATAGTTGACTGTCGTAACAAACGCATAATAGACAATACAACATCTGTAACAGCTTGTGCGTTGCGAGTTAAATGCAACGACATTTCGTCGGTCAAAGTCCAATCGGGTGACTCGGGTTACCATAAAATTTTGTCGGACTTTCCCGATATTACTCGACCATCCGGCACGCACCGTATCATACCACACAACACGGTACACCACATTCGCACTACACCAGGCCCACCAGTTTCTTGTTCACCTCGTCGCCTCGCTCCAGATAAATTAAAAATCGCCAAAGAAGAATTCCAGGCTATGTTAGAATGCGGTATCGCTAGGCCGTCTGAAAGTCCTTGGTCATCACCGTTACATTTGGTACCCAAAAAGGACAACGGTTGGCGTCCGTGTGGAGACTATCGGATGTTAAACGCCAGGACAATTCCTGATAGGTATCCTATTAGGCATATACAGGACTTCGCTCACAGTATAGCAGGGTGTAAAGTATTTAGTACACTGGACCTAGTTAAAGCGTATAACCAAATTCCTGTGAGTCCTGAGGACATTCCTAAAACCGCAATAACAACTCCATTTGGTTTGTATGAGTTCCCTTTCATGAATTTTGGCCTATCAAATGCAGGTCAATCGTTCCAGAGGTTCGTGGACGAAATGACAAGAGGACTTGATTTTTGTTATTGTTATTTAGACGATTTTTTAATTTTTTCAAAAGACGAGTCAGAACACAAAAACCATTTACGTATAATTTTCCAACGTTTAAAGGACTACGGTATGGTCATTAACGTGTCTAAGTGTGTATTCGGAGCTCGAGAAGTGTCATTTTTAGGTTATCACATTTCCGCGAGTGGCACCAAACCGCTAGACACTAAGATAGAAGCGATTAAAAATTTTCCCGTTCCTACGAACATTCGTCAACTACGGCGTTTTCTAGGAATGATCAATTTTTACAGACGTTTCCTACCGCGCGCGGCTGAGTTGCAAGCACCACTAAACAAGTTATTAGTTGGAATAGTAAAAAACAACCAACCGATAACATTGAAAGATGAGTCACTCGATGCGTTCGAGCGCTGTAAACAATCCCTTTCAAACGCTGCATTATTAGCGCACCCGGATTGCCAAGCGAAACTCGCACTTATTACCGACGCATCGGACACAGCTATCGGCGCTGTATTACAACAATTTA